TGTGCGTGTGTGTGTTGTGAGGCTTTAAATGTCATGTGTGTTGAAAGGATGAAACCATGTTGATAGTGCAGGAGGAGCAGTGTTGTATTAGGGGAATGTGTGCATTTTAGATTACAGGAACTGCTCTTCTGTGTGTATCTGTGTGTGTTATGGGTTGTGTGTCCAGAGTGTGACGGTGCGATCGGCAGAGGAGGAGAGGAAGGACAGGTCTTGTGTGTGCCACCGGCACTGGATCACCTTGTCGCCGTGCTCTCCCACCACGGTCACAGGCAGCTGTTTGGTCAAGTCACCTTTAAACACAAGAAACACAGCTCAGTCAGGCAGATAGAGAATTACACAACTGATATGATACAAATATGCAGGACAAAACCACTTCCCAGGTTCTCCTCCAGACACTTTAGGTGGGTGGAGTCCTACTGGCCCAATTCAAACCACTGTTGTAGCTACTGTATTTATTACAATATTAATTCGTCAATATAATTGAATACGCCGGTTGTTAATTGGTGTTTGATATTCTGGATTATCCAATAACAGACATGGATTGCTTAACATTTTATATATGAAGTGTTCCTTAGCTAAATTCCCAAAAGATTTACTACATTGTGGCATTTATTGATTTTGCAGAATAAAATAAGCAATAACATAAGAGGATTTTATCCCAAATTCCATAACCTTCCTTAATAGTTACAGTAACCAATGTCTCAGACAGAATTGACTCAGTCTTTTTCGGGAACGTGGGAGAGAACTGCATTAAATGCATCACACAGGTTCGCACACAGCTGAGGTCTGGTTGTCTGCGTGGATGGTAAATAATTTATGGACAGCGAGTGTGTGAGAGCGAGAGACCGAGACAGACAGTCCTGCGGACAGTTCTACAACAGGGCAGAACTCCGACATAGAGATTTCTCATGTTATCATGAAAAGTGTACATTCTTTTTTTGGTTCATTATCAAACTGTGGTGAGACAAATTAAAATATGAGGGAAAACATTGAGTAAAACAAAAGGCCCCACACAAAGAAGTTAATGATGTTCACTTTGGATGAAACACACCTTGGAGGTTGGTGACCATGACCTTTGTGTCGTAGGAACCGGTGAGCAGGTAGTGTGCTCCGGGGGAAAACCTGACAGATCGGACGTCACTGCTGTGCGGCCGGTACACCTGCACGATGCGGCCTCCTCTGATGTCATACAGCATGCATGCGCTGTCTTCCTGTCCTGTTGCTAGGAGACGGGCAGTTGGATCTACTGCTACCGAGGCAACAGGACTGCCTGTGGAGTGGAGAAAAAAAGAGGGTTAGGCCAGAGACACATGGGAGGTGAAAAGTACTGACACAAAGGACATGAGTCATACCTGAGCCATGGAAAGCAGTTCCCACTACTCGGACACAGCTGGGCATCCTGAGGTCCCAGAAACGCACCGTCTTGTCTTGGGAGCCAGAGGCAATCATCCAGCCCCCCCACGTGTACAGAGACAGAATGTGACCTGGACAGCAACACAACAGTGACATGTTTCTCAATCTCACTTTTAAAACACATCACTGTCGCTGTGTTTGTAGCTGGCGTCCACACTACCCTGGATTTTTTTGTGCACCTAAAACAAAGAAGTTTGAAATCCTGCTGGCCCTGTTTGAAAATTCAGGGGCTGCGTTTTAACAGTTCTATCTTGTAATGGGTCCAAGAAAAGAAATCCCTGCTCTTACTTGTCACCATTGCTTTTTCTCCTTTGTAGCATTTTCATCAACTAAAACAACCAGTGGCAGAGTAGAAACTGATTCTCACACAGGTCGAGAGTACGCGAATGTGATATCACTTGTTTCAGGTGCGTTGGAATGAATGGATGGATACAGCGTAAAACCCTTGTCTGGTTAGAGATCGCCGTTTTAAAGCTAAAACTTGTTTGTATGGATGCAGCCTTTGACTCTTCATGTTTCGGGTTTAGGAGGACACTTGGAGGAATGAAGCAAACATCGTACCTGTGTGTCCACTGAGGGCGTGAAGTCCCTGTCCCCGCTGACAGTCGGTTGTGTAGATGTTACAGTCTCCCGCTCCGGCGCTGATCAAGATGGCCCCTCCGCTCTCAGGACCCTCCATGAAGGCCAGGTCTCTGATGGTGCCGTCGTGCATGCTGAACTCCAGGTCTGGGCCTGGGACACAGAGAGAGACACAATTACAAATGACAACAGTGACATCAAATATCGACTGTGATGATGTACTCATGTGAGGATCGCTCACCTGTGGCGTTGCATGTCTCTGCGCTGAAAGGTAGAACTTTGACGTATTTGTCGTTGGAGCCTGTAGCAAGCAGCTGCCCACAGTGGCTCCAGGCCACACAGTAGATGGAGCCTTTGTGGTGTTTGTTCCTCTTGAAGCGGACAACTGGTTGCTTTGTTGGACTGCTGAGGACAGGAAGAGAGTAGAGGACATAAATGTCAGTGTCAGTGTGTATAATGCTTTAAAGAGTAGGAAGCACTCGATTGCCAAATGAGGTCATGGTTCTACAGGTACAGGAAACACTATATCATCGATCTTATTCTTTCAGACCACAGGTAGCAGGTAGATGCAGCTGTTTCAAAGGCAGGTAAACCCCATGAAAAAGGTGATACAAAATCCCTGTTATCCCCAAGATGTAAATATCACAAACATTCACTGCACTCTAAGCGATAACAGCTGAAAGTTCAATCAGCATCATAAAGGTGAAGCATCAGCGTCTCGACTTCCAGACTAAAGAAGAAGAAGACCTGAGGAAGTTCAGAGTCGATAAAAACCTGTCTACAGCAGAATTATTTGACCTGGGAGTGAATGCAGATTGTATCCATTCCCATTGTAGAGAAAAGTGGTGTTGGTGTTAAGATGACCGTCCATACGTCACCTTGTGTCCAGCGTCTCTGGATAAGCGCACACACGTAGAGTCTTGGAGTTGGATCCAGCAGCATACAGTAATCCAGACGGATGAAAGGCAACGGCACGAATAGCCTGAGTGTCTTCCAACGTGTGCACCGGAACAAACAGATCTTTTGCCTTTTCTCCCTGAAAACAAACCCACATATGACAAACACATGAACACACGGATTTCATGTCATTAGCAGCATAATCTTCTCTCTCCGTTCTCTAGCAGGCGTGACATCCCTGCCATTCAGATCAAACAGTTATAATCTGCTTAGTCAAATTAGAATTACACTGGATCGTATACTTAATTTACATAAGAGTAAACACGCTTCATACTATAGCACCAAAAATTTTGTAATTTAACTTAAATGTTCAATCAAAAACCCACCCATTGATCTCATTTATTCTTTTAGTGTTTTTTAAATTTATTTTATTGTTTTTGTATTCTGTTGAAATGTGTGTATGTATGTGAATATTGTGATTGATTTATCTGTGCTCTGCTGCATGCCCTGTCGGTGCAATAAAGTACTAAACTGAAATCAGAGATGCTCAAAGGAAGCTAAATAATTTGCAGAATACCAAAACTAAATCATATTTATGTGAAAGACGGTGAATGACCAACTGTGTTATAATAAAGACTATGGACATTATGCTGCAAATCACAGTCGCTATGGTAAATTATTTTCAGCGGGTCTGAAAGAATTGTTTGAACTGTTAAGAGGCTTTTCTTTGCATCCCTACCTCTTTACTTCGGGACACGGAGTCTGGAGAGTCTCCTTGTTGATCCCCAACTTGTTTCTGCCCACTGCCAACAAACAGAATGTTATTGTCTAATTCAACATATTGTCTGATAGGACATAAAGTACATTCAATCAAACGCATTTACCTCTGAGAAACGACAGGGGACTCATTGGGAGGGGCGACTGGGCGTCCCCCCACGGGGCGCTGTGGGGTGCTGCTGAGCACCCCTCCCCCCTGGGGGGTGAGGCTCTGTTCCGGGGTCACAGATGGAGGATTGTTATTGTCCTCAGAAGCTGGCGTATTCCCGTTGCCGTTACACTGCACGGCCAAAGACTTCACCTCCTCTCCTAAATTCTCCATCCCCACATTCAGCTCCTCCAACTTCTGGATGGACCTGAGAGGTTCAGACAAATATATGCACATGTACATTCATGATCTCTGTCTCTATAAACACCCATGTCCTCATTTTCCCTTTCTTCCTTTCTTTTTCCAGAGGGCTTTCTTCACACTGCAAAAACGCCCAACTAGAAATAAGTCAAATATTCTTAAATGTAATCAAATTGTCCTGTATCAAGCAAAAACATTCTTAATGAGTTTGGGTTTTTCATTAATACATTGAATACTCAGTTCTGGAGTCAGGCAGCTCCTTGCAATGAATAACTTTGTTGTTTTTGCGTAATCTTGCAACAAACAGACAGACAGGTGTGAAACATAAGCTCCTTGGTAGAGGTACAAAGAGATGGAAAAACTCAAACTGTCTATTATAAGATTCTGAAATTATGTGATCCTAAAACTAAATCTTGTTCCTCTGCTGTGGTACTTTGCAAACCATTGTTATATCTTGTTACTGGTTACATTTGCTCAATATTAATTGGAATATCGAAACATTCTTGAAAGATTATTTTTCTTTTTAGACAAAAAGAACAACATTTTTTTACTTTTTTGGCAGAAATGTGCACATTTCATTTCACTTCTTAGTACAGACTGTCACTACACTACAAGTTGACAGGCAAGTGAAATCTAATTAGAACTACAAAAAGCACAGGACAAAAGAAAACTGAAGTAATGATGTCATTAGGCACAGCAGCCTCTTGTGAATAATGCAGAGGCTACACAGAGGAGGAGAGGTAGGGGTGAGGGAGGACTGGGAGGAACTCTCGGGGGACAAATCAAAAGGCCTTTGTCCTGCTGAGAGACGCACAAACATATGTATACAGCTAATTCTCCCCATGATTTTAGTGGTGCTGTTGTTGTCAATGAAAGTCTGTGGTTTGAAAGAAAACTGTGATGTGTGATGGTAGATGTTTTAAAACATTTTTGGTTGAATCCTGTGCGTAACATTCATACACAGGAGATGATGCTATGTAGCTCGTCACCACAGATGGTGAAGTGTGGACTGCAGGCGGGTTCTTTGGGGGAAGGTGTGTGTCAGGCTGGGAAAACCACATGGGACCCATAATTATCACAGACTTAACATGTCTACTTGTCCTTATCCGGCAGCTGTGCCTCTATTGTGTGATGATATTAAAAGCTACACAGTAATTAGCAGGTTTATTAGAATCTGCACCAGAGCTGCTCATGTTTGACTTGACAGGTATATTTACCCACAATGTGGACCTTCACAAAACATCACGTCGTGTGTACCTGTTGAGGAACTTCTCTGTGAGGCTGTGCTGCATGTCGCTGGGCGGCGGCTCCTGCTGGACGCCGCCCTCCAGCAGCATCTGCTGATACAGCTGCTTCTGCTGCTGCTTCTGCTCCAGGTGCTGCTGCACACGAAGACGCTGGCGATAATACTCCTCGTACTTCTCTGTGGAGTCACGCAGCTGAGGAATGAACACAAAAGCCCTTTATGATGACTCATGAAGAGAACACATAGACGACTTTGTTTTCTAATTTTGCCTCTGCACCGTGTTACTGGTCATTTATGAAATTAATCTACTGTTGCATTAATACACACATACAAAAACAGGGGGAATCACCTTGTATACATACAGAGTTTTAACTTTTATGAGTAATCACACACATTACACGTACAATATGTAATGTACACACATAGCACACAGTTAAGTTCTTTGCCAACTCCTTTTAACAATATAAACATCAGGATTGAGACTGTTTCAGTCTTCAGTGAGTTCAGGTACTCAAAGAGGAAGGAGGGTGAGACAGAGAGCTGAGGACGGGCCGCATCCCCTCTCTGTCCTCTGCTTCCTGTGCTGACAATCTGATGGGAACGGATCCATGCATGGGAAGGGGGAGGGAGACTGGCAGCGTGCCAATGTTGGAAAAAAAAGGGGGGGTTGAGCCCAGAGGAAAACAACAGGACAGAGAGTAGGGGTGTGCCAGTGAAATCACAGAGGCCTCAAAAAAGTCTGTGTCTGTTTATGGCCCCTTTATGTGTCTCCGTGGTAACGGGCAGGGCAGATAAAAGCCCTGAAACTTCACAATGAGATGCACAAGGAGCCCAGAATAGAAAGTGTGAGACAGACGGACACACTCTGTGTTAATACTGTATTTACAGGCAACATGAGGGATGTAATGACTCATCTGTGTTGCTCCAAGTGACTTGGCCCACTGACCTGGGATCAGATCCACCAGGGCTAGTTTACGCCCCGTAATACCATTGAGTAGGGCTGGGCTATATGACTTAATTAATATCATGATTATTTCAAACTTTTACCTCAATTATGATTAATTGACACACACACACTGAATCTAAAATCTAAAAATAGATGTATCACATGTGTGTTGCACATACCTTACTTCTGTATTTATCATATGCAGAATGGTTTTAGATACTTGTGAGGTAGTGGGACATAATGAAATCACAGAAAAAAAAAACCCCACAAACATCAACACAAGAGCATCTTCTCACAAAATGAATATTTCTCATCCAGAGATCATCATAGGGCTGTGATGCACTGACTCAGCACATGTGTGACTGAGCAGCTGTGTCAGCTTTTAAAGCAACCAAGCTGTGATTCAGACGTGCAAGAGAAAGACGACTCTGATGCATTCTACTGAAAACAATAATAAGAAATGATCTATATTTAGACTTTCACTGGAGGCAACACCCATCAAGGGAAGCGTGGGACTTGTTCAGTAATTTGAGACATGCAACTGGTCTGACAAGTTGAAAGCGAGGTCAACAATATTTACCTCGTTCCTTTCAGCGGAGTCGGCAGGTGGCGCGTCCTCGCCCGGAGCTGAGGCAGGACGCAGGTTCTGAGCGCCACCTGAACTCATCATCTTATCCACAGGCGTGTCTGTTCTCGACCTGCACACAGAAAATCAACAGATTATCTATCAGACCCAAGTGTTTAAGCTTCCAGAGAACTTGCCTGCAGACAAAGATTTCAACTCCAAATCTGAGCTCTTACGTTTCAGGGGATTCCTCAAAAATGCTGTGACAGTCGGAGCTCTCCATCATGAGACTCCTGCTCAGGTTCTGCCCTCCTGCTCCAGGATAGTGGAAGTTAGCAAACGAGTGGGACATGGGAGAGACCCCTTTCCCCGGGACTATCTCCCCACCGCTGGCTCTCTTATCCTGGCCAGACAGCCCATAGGACAAGCCGTCTAATGCCGGGTTCAGGGAACGTGACATGTAGGTGTCCGCTGACTGGGGGCGGCGGAGTGGGGAGGAGGGGTATGGGGACAGTTTGCTGATGAGTGGGGTGAGGAGGTCAGCGTAGCCGGTCTTTGCAGGCTTGACCAAGCGGTCCACGTGGATGTTGAGTTGCTTCTGTTCAAAGGCGCAGGAGAAGACGCTGTGGGAGAGGTTCTGCATCCAGGAGAGCATGGACAGGTCCAGATCGTCACAGCCGTTACCACACAGCATGTCAACACCGAGGAGGACCTCACTCTCTGTGATCTCTTCACCTGTGGCCTTGCTCTGCACACAAACAATAACTACAACTTAACCACCAATGCATAACACACTGATTTAAAGCTACTACACACTTTTTAAGGAATCCTATCCACAGTGTTTATGTTAGTCTTGGTCGTTCGAACCTGGCAGAACTCCACACAGCACTCATAGAGGACGCCCTTGAGAAGCAGCTGGAAGAGTCGATCCCTGCTGGCTTTGAATCCAGCCTCGCTCAGCTTCCTGTCTGCTGGGATGAACTCTGCCACCATGGTGCAGGCCTCCTCAAAACACTGCACCCTGGCTGTGCTCGGGTTCCAATCCTGAGGGACCCAAGCAGAGAAATCAGGCATCAAGACAATATGCAATAACAACACCGGAAGCAACATTATCAACAAAAATATATTTTGAATATATTTTGATTTGCATGAGTCACGGCACACTGCAAATAAAGTCAAGACACAAAACAACAGTGCAAAAACTCAAGTATAAAAGCACACCTTTTATTATTTCAAGTGCAGTCTGATATATTTAAATTCTTGCCTTGAACTCAGCATGGTTGGTGAGACGAGGCAGCGTGAGGAGAAGACACAGTTTGCTGTAGTCGTCTTTAGAAGGACAGAACTCCTCCAGGACATGGAGACACTTGACTGCCTCCTGCATGGTGAACTCCAACTGAAAAACATGAAATATGTTTCAGATTGGATATTCCCCTCTGAACAGCAGAGAAAAACATGGTTATTTAGAAAAAGCTTTTTATGACAAGCCGGAGGGGTTTTTATATCAGCAGGACTGAAAAAAACAAAACCAGCTTCAGTGCTAACATACACAACTGTAGTCACACAGTGAGCACGCACACTGACACAATGTCCACAGATGCCATAAGGAGTCTGATCTAATCCAGTTAATAGGACACGATAGCGCAGGCAGTGTCACAAGCAGCATGCAGAGCTACACCATGTGACAACAGGCCCAGGAATGGCCTCATTTAACAATATGACTAGAGAAGTAACTGTTTTAGCATTTGTGTGTGTATGTGTATGTCACATTTATTGATGTGGCAGGCAAATTATTTCCAATAAGGATTTACAAAGAATTTGATTTGCTTTAGAGCCGTCTCTCAATATCTGAGTTTATAACTTGAAGAATCACAAGAGAACAGATGTTCTGAACCGGCTCCTTCTCAGAAACACGACAGTAAATTGCTTCGTATTACAGCCGTATATAAACAGATTTAGCCAGGGGTCACAGTTGAGTACAAACATAGACACACAACCTGCCTTCTTCTTCCTTTATTAACAGACAGATCGTAAAATGTGTTAAGAGAACTTGCTGCTGTGTGCTTGTGTTCTCTTTGAGACTGAGCTTTCTTGTTTACTGCCATGAAAACCATTGACAGTCAGTGGGAAGACACAGCTGTGCCATTAACCAGACCATTTTATTTTTTAGGGTGTAGAGTGCAGTGTTTTGACTTACATGCTGGGGTTCATCCTCTGCAGACATGGCATTATTCACACACAGAGCCTCCAGAAACTTCTGCTTCAGGATGATGTAACGAAACCTTAGGATTATAAAACAAACAGTTTCTGTAAGAGTAAAACTCACAGAAAAGTATTTGGACTTACTGAAAGGGATTCAGGCAGTGAACGCACCTTTTTCTGTCAAACTTGTCCATGCACTCCAAAGGCTGAATGAACTGCAAGACCTCATCCCACTGCCCATCAAGCACCAGTTGCCTGAATCAGAAACAATTGATCATTTAATGCACACATGGAACCGTGTCCTCATATCTAAATGTCCTACAATGTGAAAATTCAAATCGTGTTTTGATTGAAACACATTGAAACATCTCTGACTCCCAAATGGCTGGCTATTTTTAAGAAACGTGTGCAAGGATATGATGAAACAGCCTGTCAACTATGATGTTTTGATACCAACACCAGCATTGAATAATGCTTCCGATACTGCAGAAAAGGCCAGGTCGGGAATCGGTGAGTAAGCAAATCTATGTGTGGATCACTTCCACACAAGGTTAGACGCGTGCAGCTCTTAAAATACGTTATGTTTGGAGTCGAAGGAAAGTCTGGGTATCGTGATGGGCATCAGGAAGGGAAAATATTATCGGAACACCTCCATAACCAGACACTTCACACTTGAAGGTGAAATAGAAAACTGTATTTAATACTCGGGCTGAATATAACTGATTGACACACTGCTGGCTGACTTTCAACCGAGCACTCACATCTAATGCATGGGTGCTGTGTTACATTATCTCCAGTACAGAGGACTCTATCAGAACAAACACTAAACTTGTGACTCGAACAGATGCCCGTTGTTCCCGTGCCATGGTACAAAGCTTTATTTGGAGCCGCAACCTGACACAGCCACGGTCGGACTGCCAGTGTGGTTTCTGCGGTTGAGCTGGATTACCTGAGGAAGAGCATGTCGTCCGAGTAGAGCCCGTTGATGACGCCGCTCTCCTTCTCCAGAGCCAGCATGCTGATGTGCAGTTTCCTGGCATTGAGAAAGTCCAGGATCACCTTGATGATCTCCACCTCCTTCACATTTATGGTTTCCTCCGCTGTCATGGTGACGACGGGCTGCCAACATAGAAACAGCAAAAGAATAAATACAGAATCAGCATCAGAGCAGATTCTGTTCGAATGAGTCCAGAAAGAGAAAATGTGAAGCTGAGCAAACATTCAATATTCCTGTTACTGACTTTCTGCTGAATCATATCAGGAGAATACCCTGTTGTCAAACATTGTTTTGTTTTACATAAACCTGAATATAAAGAGGTCATATGTACACATAGCAGTGAACAACAGTTTGATTCATACAAAAAAACTGATTTTAAATGCAAAATCAAGCACATTTAGATGCATATATGTAAAGTGGAGACTGAATTGGCTGAGTGTGAATGTTGCTTGTCTCTGTGAGTTGGTCCTGTGCTATGCAGGCAACCTGCCCTGGGTGTACCCTGCCTCTTGCCCAATGTCAGATGGGATTGTCTCCATCTCCTTGGGACCCCTCAAAGGATAAGCAGTACAGATAATGGATGGATGGGTTTAGATATATTTAATCCCAGATTTGTTGTTATTGTGATTACTTCAGCCGCATCACCGAGCCCTGCAGGCAAATGTTGGTACTGAAGATGGCATCAGACCTGCAGAAGCTTGGGTGAAGCTGGACAGGTGACTGGAGGACTGTGGTTCGACTGCAGCTGCTAAACGTGTATGTTAATGAACTTTTTTACATTTAGTACTTTTCCATTCTAATTGACCACTCACAGTACAAGCCCCATTCACACACACATTCTTACAGCACAACTATATGCTGCGATTCTTCCACCACACGCTGCCAGAGTCAGTCAGGGAACATTTGGGGTTCAGTATCTTGCCCAATGACACTTAGGCAGACTGGAGGAACTGAACCACTGACCTTCTGGTTAGTGGTTCAGTTCCAACACACTCTACCCCTGAGCCACAGATCCACAGAAATCCAGATTCAATCTCAGATGATTACAGCCTCACCTTGCAGGACGGACAACAAGATGCAGATTTATTGTTTTCACACAACTCATCTCAACACCTACTGCAAAGTCTTCAGAAATACTCAAGTCAGCAGTGCAGCCTGTTCCCTCACACCCTGTTGTTTGCATGATCACCTCAGGCCACAGCAGCACAAATAAATCTGTAATGTGGTGCAGATGTTCTGAGCCTGAGGAGGAGAGAGTCCTGCTTCACCTGGTCACATGATCAGACCATAATAAGAGCAGGGCAGCGTGTCAGCTTCAACAACACAGATCATAGAGACTGAGCTTGTGGAGTCAAAACAGCAACTCGTGTTAGTGACTTCTAATGCGCACGCTGGGTTCATCGAGGAGACACCAGCCTTATCGTGTGTCTGCCATGACGGTGTGCGTGTGTGTGAATGATGAGCTTCGACAATCACAGATAAAACTAACAACAACGCGGTTTATTTCGAGCCCAGAGACGAGCGACACAGGCACCGCAGTGCTGCTCAGCTAGCATGAGGGATGGGTAGCTAATCACACTGGCACTGAGCCACAAGTCCAACACTGTAAGAAGCTTAGGCTACTTGTTAGCTTTACATAGCTAGTGCGATAAACAGCGGATTACAGCTAAGACAAACACACGGCTAGTTACCGTCGGACCAAGCTGCCTAATTTGAGGGCGGTGGGAGCGGGAGGGCGGTAGCTAGCCAGGCCGGGGACTAGAGAGGCATCATCCGTTAGTTAGCTGCGCAGGGCGGGCGGGGTACGGGATGCGGGCCCCCCCAACAACAACACCGAGCGGCCCCTGCCTGATGCTCACCTGTGTCTATAAACACATGGGATGAGGACGGTGTCCCGGGCTGGTTTCCGTGCTGTCACGATGGTGCCGCTCTGTGCTGCTGCCTGTGACCGTCTCCTCCTCCGTCCTCCTCCGTGTCTCACTGACTCAGTCCCGCTCCTCCTCCTCCTCCTCCTCCGCTGCTGCTGCCGAGGGACAGCGAGCTCAAATCGTGGCAGCGGCAGCTTGTAGAGGCACTTCCGGCGGCAACAGAAAGTGCCACTGATTTGTTAAGGCAGTTGCCACCGCTGCCATCCTGTGTGAGGGCAACTTCCAGTGTCTGTGGCTTCTCCCCAGAGTTTATACGTGCTTTATGAAGGTTTATCAGCTCGTGACAGAATAATTGATTGTGTATTTCTCCACTTGTATTGTGAGACATGCTCGTTTACGTCTGATTTATTTGTCACATGTGTAATGATTCTGCTTAAATGGTGTCAATGCTTTGTTTTGTGTCTTTGAACTGAAACTTGAAAGGCCGGGGCAGCTCCCACCATTGTTTGGAAGAAGCCAACAATACCTCTGCTCCCTGTGCCACATGTAAAACCTGCTGTTTGTGTCTGTTGTTGCTGCTCTGTCGCCTTTTTAAGGTTCCATTATTAACATTTACCATCACTGACATAATGTGTGAGTACAATAGACACTCCTATAATGTAATGCTTTCATTTAGCTATTATGGTCTGCATTGGCACAAATTACTCAAATATAAAAACATACAATTATTATTTACACAATTTGAATGTCCATCTGTCATCAAAAGCAACATTATTTCTGTTTTAGGTTTACTGAATAACACTTTGCTTCAATATCAGTACATTTAACTTTATTTTAACAGGATAAACCAGCCTGTATCAATGTTGCTGTCATTGTCAGTTAAGTGAAGACATGAGAATAAAACTTAGTTGTTGTGTACAGCTTAATTTGTCATTTGTTTATATGCACTGATGATTTCACCCTATAGAGGTTCATAAGTCATACAAATATTTTGAAGTTGAAGGAGGTAACAATAAGTCTATTTTAAATGTTCTTATAGATGTTAGTGTATTTAACTGAGTCCTTGGAGAATGAGATCCTGTCATAAGGAAAACATTTGGGCCAAAGTTGTAAATAAACTGTAAATGGTTTATATGCAATTGGAAAGTAACATTTTGTGAGTCTATCTTTGTTGTCTTGTGACACAAAAACACAGAGAGAGAATATACATATAAATGGAGATAGTGCCTTGTTCTACTGTTACTAAAACTTTGTTCTTTTGAGGTATTTCCATTTACTTTGGTACAGTTGTAGTCAGTAAATTGCTACATGAGCAGCTGCATCTCTACATCATTGCTATCATGGAGTTATTCCTAATCTTACATAGAATTTAAAGCAAGGATCGGAAGTGCCTCTACGAGCTACTGCTACCATGGTTTGAGCTGGCCCTTACTGCTGCTGCTGCCCAGCCCTGCTGCCGTGTGCAGCCTGCAGCAGCACTGCCTCCCTCCATCCATCACACATCATACTCTAACAGAAATAACAGGAGGACACTGTGAATGCATTTAGATTATACAGGCGATTATGTGCAAATACATGCTGGAAGACAAAGCCTTTAGCTTTCAAATTTTTTCACTGTTACAATTGCATATATTAAATGGGTATTACTACTTTCTGGTATTATTTCATTTATGTGAAGAACTTTGATTTGGGGTGAAAAAGGGACTTAATTACATATACTTTGTCTACTTACTTGTTTGATAATCTGTTGATGATTACTGTTTGCATCATGCGGCCTAAATTACACAAATCTGACTGAAAAGATGGAGTAAATTTGTGCAAGCTCTCTCTCTCTCTGCACCAGCAGTATTAGGGACACGCCCTGTATGGCTCCTCTGGGTGTCTCTGACCCTGCCACAGTCTGCAGTATGGTTCCCTCCCTGCACATCACTGCTCAGAGGTGTAAGTCATTATAAAAAGCCAAATTCAATCAGTCACCCATCGTTTATCTATACTGATTTTTCTCGAACTGGAGCCAGTCTGAGATTGGGCAGAAGGCCATACAGAATATGAAAATGTATAATATATAATATATACAAATACTCACTATAATCCTGTGTTTCCGGGAAAATCATACCATGTCATTCAGAATTCAGGATTAGAAAATGATCACATGAACCATAATAAACTGCTGAATTTCTGAATTAGTCACCAATTAGGCAAAGTGAGAAACTAACCTCAATAACCTCAAGAAACACATGGGCAACAAAAAGCTCCAGGTTAACTGCATGTCGCAGATTGAATTAACTGCATATGTTTTAATGAATTTCAAAGTAAAGGCTGCATTGAAGTGTCATTCTGATTGTCTGTGTTGCTGTTTTAGTTTATTCTGTACTCACGACATCTGCTTCACATCTGTCCATCCGGGAGAAAGGAATTTTCGAAGGGATCCTTTTGCCAAATTTGTGATTTTGGGCTGTATAAATACAACTGACTAGACTCCAGCAGGTTTTGCAAAAGCCCATAATCTTTACTTATTTACATAAAAGATAAGATAATATGTAAAAGTTATTTACTGTATGTAAAAGATAAGGAAAAAAAGAATGATGTCATATTAATCAGCAGCAATACAAGAGGAATCATAGCAAAGTACAATTGAATCAGTGAAGACAGGAACATGAATTGCGACAGCATGAGTACTGTTGATAGCTGACATTTTAATAAAGCTCAAAGAAATAGAAAAACAACAAAAATCCATGAAAAGTTGAGCATATTTAGTTAAATGAAAAAGAAAATAAATCCAGAATTGGAAAAAGAAATAGCATGATTTTCTCAGTTTAACACTGGATTTCATACAATACCACAATAAAGCCTCATGAAGACTCTATAAACCTCGCTCACTCAGCCACACCCCTCTCAACATGCGTCCTTCTACTGCTGCTTCATAGGTACACACCTCCAACTGGTAAATGGCGTTACAAAAAATACTTCTTTATGCCAAAATATATCTGTACAGTGTTAACACATACTGAAGACTGAACACATGATAACAGATGTAACAGTAACGTAAAAGTAAAGTAACAAACAGGACAGTCCTAATCTCCGATTAGACTTGATGACGAGGGACAGAGAAGTGCTATCATAGGTGAATTCATTTATTTACAACTGTGGACTATACTCGGAGGGGAGTGGAGATCTAATAGTGAAGGCAATATCCACATTAAAGTGACATTTTGAGTGTGTAGTACTTAATTCTGACTCCAGCATGGTCAGTGGTGGTGATTTGAATTACTATTAGGTCATTGCACACGTCCATGATGACACAGTAAGGGGTTTCTGTCTATTCTAATAGTGATGATAGTCTCATGAGTGATACTGTGGAGTGATCACACTTGGTTTTGCATTTGTGGAACAATAAAAGGCCCCAAACGACGACATACTGACACACGTATAAATTATAAAAGCTACTCAAAAGCTACTACAAGCTGACTTTCGAGTGGATCTGCCATTATATACAAACTAATTTAACTTATATATGTATAGTATTTTATGTTTCTCTACAGAAAATCTGAAACATGTCTTCTTTAATAATAAATTAAGAGACTACTGCAGAATTATCTGGCGGTTCTGCATTCGCTCAATAATTTCATCACTTGACACTTTTGGAAAGTAATTGCAAACGCTGACTGAGGTATTTTCCTCGCTCTTCATGGCACTTCACTTTACACACACTTACACGAATTGGAACTGTTCATACGTTTTTCAGTCACAAGTATAAAAAAAAACAACACATGCCTTTATAGCAGCAATACCCTCATCAAAAAAATGCTGCGTCTACCTGATCACAGATCCGACGTGCCACCCTTTAAATGTCCACATAGGGGGTCGTAATCTGATCCCAGATCTGTGTGTACACAACAGCCTCTCCTGTACCACAACAGACTTGTTCAACAGGCGCTGACAAAATGACACCAACACACACAGTGCATCCAAATGACACAAAGCAAGCATAAGGCCACACATGTTCAACTTATAGAAACCAAACGACCTCTTCAGGAGGCGTGACATTCAGTGCTTCAGTGGTTCAACTAGGTAAGGCATTGGTCCGCCTATGGTTTTCTTTTTTTTTGGCACACAAGAACATTGATACACATGCTCACAAGTACAGAGAGTCCTAACAGTGAGCTCTGCATTGTCTGAGAAGCCCACTTGTGCTCGACATTCCAGTTGTGATTTATAACAGTGAGACGTGTCCCTTTAACGAAACAGTAAAATCCACAAATATTTTATGTTCTTTTCAGAGGACTGTGTCCAAATGTTGCTAGACCATCTGCCGCTACTTGGGGTGCAGCTTTTTGGGTGTGCCCTGCTTCTTGATCTGCCAAAGATGGCTGGCTATGGTGATGGCGTCCACACTGGCGGACATGGTTTTGGCTGGGATCAGGCTGAACTGCTTCCTGTCCGAGTTGTACTTGTACAGGCCCTCGATCATCTTGGTGGTGATGCTCCTGGGCCCGATACCTGCCAGTCGGGTGATCTCTGCGGTCTCGGGGCAGTAGGCGTACACAGACCGGAACTGGCAGCCGGCGTCACGAAACAACACCAGGAAGTTATTGGCTTCAGATTTTTCCATTTCCTGCAGAAAGTCATGAAAGAAATTATAAATGATTGCTAGAATAGAACGTTTAAATTCACAAGATACAGACTTTTATTTGGATTTGCACCAAACGGCTCACTCTAATAAATATCAGTCCCCTAAACATGCCTGATTTTTTTTCCATCAAAATCCATGAAATATTCTCTGAAAAATCTAGTAAAATATATCACGTCCTTCAACCAGCTTAATGCTAATGAAAAACAAAATGTCCTCGGCGGAAGTCAAAATGAAACTCTGTCGAACACACACACACACAGGCACTAAACATACATCAAGTATCTTGTTTTTCTGCCCTTCGTTGACTTTGCCAGCCAGGCAGCAGTGAGCCAGGGCGTTCTGGATGATGTGCTTGTTGGACTTGGCACTGGGCTCCTTGTAGAGTTTGGGTCCTGAAGTAAGGTAAGACAGTGCATGCATGAGTTTTTGCGAAAAATGTAAAATCATGCACGGTCACTATGTAAATGGACGTTTACTGGAAGGTCTTATACCTGTGTATTCAGCATTGGAGGGAGTGGAGGAGGTGGTGGAATCATTCTCCCAATCCTTTTCTCCGTTACGACTACCGGCCGAAGGACAAGAAGAAAAACCCTCGGCAGAGTCAGGCCTGGAGATGATCGCATACAACAAATCACAAACATAGCAACAAACACACAGAAAATGGACACACATAAGCAAGTACAGGGTATGAGAGCATACGACAACAATTTCCACAAACACACATGCACACACAAACACACAGATAAGAAACACAGAAAGAGAGAGAGACGTGGCAAAACAAGGTCAGACATTGTGACACAGTTTCCCAAACCCAGGCTGTTGTATTGCATCACTGTACACGCTCTGACAAAGCTGCAGCGCGGTGCGGGACAGAAAAGGCGTGTTCAGCCAAGCAAAGCAAAGTCCTCGGCGCTGCCTTTACGGCTACAGCGAGAGTTGAGCCCAAGTACATGTGGAGGAAACAGAAAACACAGCGACAAAGCGCAGAGCAGCCGGCACAGAGAGGAGAGCCAGGAACAGTCTGAGTGCAATGCTGCGAAAGACGAAGAGGATGAAGAGCAGAAGAGAAGAGCCACACAGCTCCGGTTCACAAGCTGGAACTATAACGATGGGATATGAGAAATGATTCTACTGTCGACTCATCCGTCTACTTTTATGAGAGTTCTCTGAAAAGCAGGCTAATACTGACGTCACATGGAGCTACATGTACCTACGATGAGCCACACCCACAGCAGTTAATACATTTTCTTCTGTGGAAGAAGATCGTCTTCTCAGTATGTTACTAACCTTCCCTTTCTTTCTTTGGGAGAGCTTAGAAAGAACGGGATATGTGCAGACGCTATTTTATTGCCTCTGAGGGAATCCATGCAGAATTGAAGAAAAAGGAGAGAGGGATAAAAGAGAATCAAGATGCAGAGTGTAAACCTTAATAAAAATGACTTCAGCCTCAACAAGAAAACAGCTGAGTGTTTAATATCAGGGTACCATAAAGAAATAAGGGGCGGGAGTTATAAGTTGAAATGTTGCGGTGCACAGAACAACTGACATGTATAAATGCAATATTTTAAAAGGTGAAACTGAAATTTAAGTTAAATTATCAGCAACAAGTAGAACACAGAGGAAATGTTTAAGATGCAATAAACAAACTTCAAATTTGCTTTAACTTAACAGCATCATTGAGCCTCCTCAGAAATTGGCATTCATAATAAAGAACAGGCAACTACCCTCCACCTTTCTGTTGTTAATTCATTCATTTCCTGTCATTACTTCAGCCAAGGAGGTTGAAAGAGATGTTAATTGTTGAATCAAGTTAAATCAAGTTTTAATGCAGTTATTTAAGCTTAACATTTTACATTTCTTCATATTCAGTTTCAAGTAATGCATATTTCAGCCCAGAGTTCTTCTCACCTGTTGTTCTTCCTGTTATCCGGCTGGTCTCTACCGTTGTCAGTGAGGTTGAGAGACGCCAAAGAAACACTGGACACGGAGAAGCCTCGAGGACGCACCCCTGCAACACAACAATAACCTGAAGGTCATGACACAGATCAGCTGCTGTGGCAGTGTGCGTCTGTGCGTGTGGTTCGTGTGTTGCTCACCTCTCACAGGGGGATTCGACGGCTCCATGACGTCCCTGTGGATGGACTTGGGGCGTGGCTTCTTCTTGAGACTCCCCGATCGAGGCTTGATGACTTGGTCCATATCCTCCATCAGTTTGAGCTGCTTCCTCCTCAGATACTCGTGCTTGATGTAGTCCCTCCTGGCTTTCTCGTCATCCTTCTTCTGCTGCTCCTCCTCCGCTTTCAGTCTGAAGGAAGAGACACAGCTTAGATCGTACACTTTTTAACTTAAAGAAAAATAAAGCATGATTAAACCGGCTACAGCAGCACTTGATATGCCCTCAGTATTGGTGCTATATGCCAGGAGAAAGAAGGACAGATAGACAGACCGTGCAGCCTCTCTATTCTGCTCCTGGTCCAGTTCCTGCTGCTGCTTCTTCTCCTGAGCCTCCTTCTCCCTCCTCAGCCTCTTCTCCAGCAGTGCTGCTTTCTTTGCTGCCATGTCCTCTTCCCCTTTCACATCATCCTAGGGTTTGATAGGTGGATGACCCATGAATGAATAATGTGTATATAGCAGTTGTCAGACTCCCGAGCTCCAGAAACTGTACAGACAATTGGTTCCGGACATTTTCTGGAGTTTGCCTTCCACATATGAAGAAGGCAGCAGGGGATTGTTTGGGTTAGACGGATTCACAACAGGAAAATTAGCTGAACATTCATGTGTGATGTTTGTGCAGAGCATACAGGTCTCCTGACATGTAGAAAACCTCTTTATTATCTGGAAGTGTTTGTATTCTTTTGGTTTTTTTCAGTTTTGCACCCGTTGTGTGTTAGAAACTTTATTAAAACTTCCATTCGCTGTGCAGTGAATTCTCCTGAAATAATCGTGCAGTATTCTCAAATGGGCTCCCTCTGACTTTCTCTGGAGCTTTCACAAGGGGGCTGGCAGGAAATACTCCAGAGCAACTGACTCAGACATTCCAGTTCTTACATACAGCCCTTCCTGATAGTTCATCTCTGAAAGCAGCTTATGTCTTTTTTCTCTCCTCTAAGAAATCAAATCTAATTGAGAAGATGCCTTCTCTTGATAGTTAATTTAACAGTTTTTACAGGAAATGTATATTTATTTAACATTAAATTGAGCATAAAAATAAATTACCATAGGGGGAAAACTGTAATCACAGCTCTAATAGTTTCCCATAAGTCTGTTTTCTGGCTCAACTTTTGGCCTGGATTCCCTCATGTGTTGCTCAGAGCTCAACAGGCACATTACTGCACATGTTGTTGCCAGGCTCCTCAATGAGAGAGTCCTCTTTATACAGCACCATAAGGCTGAATATAGACTGTATTATTAATGAGGAGTTAACACATTTGACATATCAGCTATGATTATAGTTTGACTGCGGTGGGTGGGGCTCAACTCAATGACCTGTAGGTGGCGAAATGTGGAATCAAATGTAGGTTAACATTATTACATGTTTGAATCGTGTAAATATGATTATGCATGGTATTGATATAACTATCAACAGAGTCATTAGTAATTCTATTAATTTAGCTTTTCTGCTCTAACAGGTCAAAAATATTTGCTGTGAATTCTTTTATTTGGGTTCAGTAAAGAAATAAAAGCTCCTCTGTTGCTAACTAGGCTAGAAATACATGTATATGCCAGCAGGACAGCGAAGATGGTTTAGACTTCTGAGGGAAATAAGCTCAAACCAGCAGCCATTTCACTTTCCATCCATCCATCTATTATCTGTACCACTTATCCTCTTGAGGATGATGTGGGGAGCTGTAGCCAATCCTAGCTGGGAGAGAGGCGCATCGCAGGGTCAATGCCATTCTTCACACACACATTCACACAAATTGAAAATTTAGTGTCTCCAATTGGCCAAACCCTGAACTGCGTGTCTTTGGACTGTAGGAGGTGTACCCTGAGATAACCCATGTAAACACCAGTAAGCTTCTTGCTTTGCATAGCACAAAGACTGTAAAAACTGAGTTAGCTCTTTCCAAAGATACTAACCCATTGTGGTCTCAATATTTCCATTAAAAAGGGAAATAATCAATAATTGCAACAGAAAACAGCTCAAATATATACAGCCAACACTTAAGGCTCTATCGCTCACCTTGAAGAAGAATCCACAGCACATCTTCTGATCGTCACCATAAGCATCTCCTCCGCTTTCCCCCTCTCCTGTCGCCTCCCTGCGGTGGCCTTCTGGAGGATTCAGCCCAGACAGAGGCACCTCCACCAGTTCTCCCCGGCCCTGAGGGTCTGCTTTGGTCCGGCCGCCGGCGGCCCCTTGGATCTCAGACGTCGGCTGACGCAACACCTCCGAGTTCCTCGATTGTTTGACTACATTCTTTGACTGAGCCTGCTCGGCCTCTTTCTTCTCCACCTGTCGCTCACCTGCCTTCTCTTTGGTTGTTTGTTTAGTCGGAGGATGATGAGTGGAAGCGCTATTCTTTGCCGCCGTCTCGTCTTTGACTTCACTGTTTTCTTTGTCATCCTTGGCCTCTTGGTTCTTTCTTTCCCTGGATCCCTCATCGTGGCCAAAATAGGCAAAAGAGCTGCTTTGGCTTTGGCTGCTAGTGAAACGCCTCAGTCTGGGTAAGCTGTCCACTGAAGTGGGGGTGTTGAGCATTCTGCTGAAGGGGGTGACTTTTAGATCATTGGGCCGTGGAGTCCGCGGGGTCCTGGCATGGAAAGAGGCTGGCCGGCGTTTGATGCCGGCAGGGGAACGATTGGGAGCGCGGGGGGAGCTGGTAGAAGACAGGATGGGAGACAAAGACCCAACCGAGCCTCTGCCTGTTACACTGCTGCTGCGCAACTCACGGAGCTGCCTGAGTGGGGAAACAACACTCATTAATACAAAATGTGAGTTCAAGATGCGAAAATGACTTCTCCCATAATATTGATAATATCGAACATTAAGTGATACCTGTGCGGAGATGGAGCAGGAGGAGGGATCACCCAGGATTGTTGTTGCTGATCTTTCATGGACATGATCTTCTCCTGCTGCTGGGCCAAACGCTGCATTTCTGTCTGCAGGAAGCCCAGGGACGTGTTCAGCCTCTCGATGGAACGCGTGTATTCTGCAAGGTCGATTTCTCCTGGAGTCACACCTGCTTAGCCACATTAAATACACAGGTTATTATTGAATATTGATTTAATCACAATCATATATGATTGATGATCCCAAGGCCTCAAGATAAACAGTCTCACAAAATATAAGCTGAATAATAATTGACATCATGTACTAATAAAGGCAATTTTTAGCTATAACAACAAACATGACCAGGTCCTTCGATGAGAGAGTTGGTATTTTCTCTGTTTCATATCATTGTAAATTGAATATCATCAATAAGTCATTAACTGCAGTCAGGGGTCACCCACCTCCGCCATCCTCACAGGGGGATTTCGGAGCTGCTCCGTCTGGTTTGCATCTCTCTGCCCGATCCATGCTGCCGTGGCTGCTTTGCTTTAAGGGCGTGAGCGGCTCAGGGGAAGGTGTTTCTGCTCCGCCTGAGCCGGGGCTGAGGGGGGCGGTGACTCCTTTCCTCCTCACGACATTCAGAAAAGCTGTTCTGCCCATCCTCTGGCGATGGCGAGTAAAAGCTGCCTCCACCTGGACAATGTGACGAGAGCAATGTGATGTGAATATTTGTATTTCAAGATATTTTTTGGCCATCTCTCTTACTGTACTCCTGTTGTACCTTCTTCTTCTGGGCTTCAATGGCTCTGCGTTTTTCCTCAAGCTTCATCCTCAGCTGGATCATCTCTGTGGCTATAATGTGGGATGGGTCTCTGGGGGAAGGCGTCACTGGGGAGGGAGAAGTGATGGGCAAAGGAGGCGTAGAGATCTGGGAGAAAAGTGCAAAGATCATTTATATGTCAACCCACATCACTTCAAATTACACTGTGATGAAACGTGTTAAAGAACAAATGGCAGAATGAGTCACAAACCTGAGAAGGAATGTTTTTCATTGCGTGTGTGTACGGTACATTTAGATCTGTGCTCTCTGGCGTGGTTCCTCCACTACTCCTCCCCTCCAGCTTCCTGAATTTTTGCTCTGCGAAACTCGTCATCCGCACCATGCCTCCTCCAGAGCCGGCAGAGGACGAGGCGGGGCTGAGAGTGTGAGATCTGTGGAGTATGGGTGCCGAGCTGGGGCAGGGGTGGCTTCTGTCAGCTCCATCTCCCCTCTCAGTGTCAGGATTAGTGTCACCAACTGCTTTGGGCCCTGCTTCCCTGCTCCTCGTCCTCTCTGGCTGCTCAGGCAGGGGGCACGACCTGGTCATGGTATCACAGTCTGGGTCTATGTCTGAATAGTCTCTCAAAGAGGAGGAGTCCTCATCCAAGCTCTGGATGTCCTCTGTCCTCACATGGATGCCCGTGTCAACTTCATCGGTGGACAACGAGTTGGGGTCGTGGTCGTTCAGCCGAGCCTTAGCTGACCCCAAGTCATCTCCTTGACCTTGGGCACCTGGAGGGTCCGAAGGCTCTGCACTGTGGAGAAAGAAGCAATTGTCTCTTTCCCCCACACCCAGGCTAGCATGAGGCCTTTCTGTGTCATGGATAATTTTCAGGGCCTCTTCAATACTCGGAGGGGTCGATGGGCTGATGTGGCCGCTGTGGTTGCTGTCTGGGAGGTCTCCATTAGAATACCTAGAGACAGATACATGTAAATAAAGTTATACTCTCAAGGTTAAAGTTTATTATATATATATAGATATAGATATCTAGAGGTCAGATGTTTCCATTACTTAAAAATCATAACTCAACACATCCCACTCTGCTCTACCTGCTTTGGTTCTTGACTGAGAATGTGTTATTGCGCCCCAGGGGTTTGTGGGGGGTTAGGTCCTCCTCCTCCTCCGGTATGTGTCTGCTCTGACCATTGACACTGACAGGGATGAGGGAGAGGTGGCGCTTCATGCCTTCTCGGGATGCATAGTGAACTTTGAACCCAAGACCGTCACTGCTGGCCGAGCGTGTCATACCCCGGAGGGAGGGGGCTTCGCAGGGCGGCAACGTCGGGTCTCCGTCCAGAGGGATCTCGAAGGAGATTCCACGAGAGGAGGAGCTGAGGGTGGAGGAAACATTTAGGGAGACAGCAGACCAATTAAGGTTTGTAGGTCAATTCATATTTAGATTTCATGTACTCACCGTTTCTCTTTGGGCCACGTCCCGACACATCCATCCACATAGGAAATGGAGGTAGATCTCTTCATTATACCTGTTACAGAGACAGAGCAGTTTCATTGACTTTATCCAGTCCTTATTTAACCAGACATTCACCAACACTGCAGTGAGAGTATCAAGATCCAGATTTTCCACTAGAGGGCGTCCGGTTTCAAAACAAAAAACTTCCACTGCTTTGTGTTAATTCTTGTGTTAGTTCTTTAATAACTGCTAATAGAGGTGAGAATATCATTTTGTCAAAATTGCTAAAACAGTATGTATGAGCCAGTTCAAGAAAGCAGAGGACACACTTCCTCTGTAAAAACAGTGTGGAAAGAACAGTGATATCATGGCATTGCTGTATTTACAACAGAGGAATAGAAACCAATCCTAATTAGGATTGTGACATCTCTGAATCACAGACAAGCAAACAACCATTGCTTTTAAGTAACCCAAGTGTTTGTTATCCACACTTTGATTTTGCCATGGCAACACACATATGCAAGCTATATCTTTGAATTACCATTGAATAGTCAGTAAGTAGAGAATAGATTTGTCCATAATCTAAGGGATTATTTACCCTCAACAGGGATGTTCTCTGGACTCTCAAGTCTGTCTGCATAGCTCTGTTTGACTGGACTGGACACAGGAGCCATGTTCTTAGAGGACACCGGCTCACAGGCTGCAGAAGAGAACATGAAGATGTCAAACATTCAATTCAGTGTTAAGGTGCAACTTTGTACTATTAGAGTTAATGAACTGAAGCAATGAACTGCATGCAATTATTGTATTATACCGTTGGGGTCGAAGACTCTGGGCTGCACAAACGAGGGTTTAACCACTTCAAACCACCAGAAGAGCTCAGCCATAAAGACCAGATAGTTACTCTGCAAGGACACACACACACACACACAGAGATAGAGAGACAGACATTTATTCATTTGTTGTTATTTATTCATGAATTAGCAGATTTGTCTCTGCAGTCACCTACAAAGATGCAACACTGGCCACTTGATGGACCAGTGAGGTCATAGCCTGCAAACTGTTGCTAAGTAACAGGCTCAGGTGTGTGTGTGTGTGTGTGTGTGTGTGTGTGTGTGTTTATATGTGTGTGTAACTATGTGAGTATCTGTACATGTTTCATTGTGTGAGTTGTTTAATGTCAAACCCATACGTCTCTTGAAAGCTGCCAAGACACCATCTGGAGTTTAGTTTCAATTTGTCACATGTGCACAGTTGGATGTACAAAGCAGAGAATGATTGACTTACATCGATGATAAATGCACATGTGATATAAACAGAGAGAAAGAGAGAGAAACAAACTGACCAGTGCTTTTTCTTTCTGGTCGAGCTAAATAAAGACATAACCACTAAGAGTTCTACTCCTATAAAAACTGCCGCGCACACACACACACACACACACACACACACACACACACACACACACACACACACACACACACAGACAGACAGACAGACAGACACTGATTAAGATTCTATAAGCAGTATGTTTGTGGTGAATGGGCAGAATGCCAGAGCCTTCAGCTCCCCTCCATGACCATTTCTATCCTTTTTCTCCCTTCCTTTGCCTACTTGTGTTATTGCAGCACTGTACCTTCAATATACACCCAGACTATAAATAATGTGAATGCAAAAGAGAGCGTGCACAAATGTGAAAACAGTCTGCTGTGTTGTTTTAAAGAATGGTAAGTCCCTGTCAGCTTGGGCCGTGACTTGAATCCAAATGTTAGTACCCACGCTCTCTGCATACTATTTACCCACACTGGCTCTGCTGCCTCTACAGTTGCAGAAAGTTGTACAGTAAGGCTTTTATTAATCAGAGACAAATGTGTGCGTGAATGGGGGGAGAGATCTCTGCCCGGAGACAGGGTGAATCAGCAGTTGTGTTGTTCACAGAATTTTTTCCAGATTTTGTTGTTTGATAAAAGAAAAAAAACAACAGCACCCCTGCAGAGGGAGAGGAACAAGAGAGGCAAGCGGAGATGAGACGGGTCAGGACTGAGAATCTCCTCTGAGCAGAGTCTGTCCTCTGTCGGAGCGAGAGACTGGGAGGGTGGCAGGGTTGGCCTGCAGCGTCTGTACCAGAAAACCAGCAGCAGTGCACACACACACATACAGACTGTCAAAGTCATTTAATCTGGCAGTGAAGAAAAACTCACTGTAGCAAAATGATTTTCATGCCCATGCGAATACAGATGGACAGACACACACACACGGCTGTACTTCTATCTTATTGAGGACTCATTGACATAATACATTCCCTAACCACTAACCCTTATCCTAACCTAATTCTAACCCTAACCATAAAACCAAGTCTTAACTCTCAAACAGCCCATTAAAAAAGTGAGGCCGGTCAAAATGTCCTCACTTTCCAAAAATGTCCTCTCTCTGTAGGGTCTATGATTAATGTGGTCCTCACAAAGATAAAAGTACAGGAACACATACACACATATCCCCACTACACACACATCCATTATTATTTTTCCTTGCATGACTCATATTTGCCCGTTTGTAATTTCCCACTCTCTTTATTCCCAAAAAAACGTCTTTCTTCTTCTAACTCTTTCCTCTGAGTCCAGTCCACGATATAAAAACAGCACCTCCCCCCATCCTCTCCACACACATTTATATTGATATGTGATTATACCGGCCTCCCTACCTTTATGGATGCATGTGCATAGAGCATGTCCTCCAGGCTGAAGTGGCAGCAGTGGTTGAGGTTGTTCTTGCAGAACTCCTGCACCAGCTGGAGGTTGTACAAACTGTCAGCCAGTGACATGGTCTCCTTGAGGCAGATATCTGCTCAGCCAGGGGAGGGGTCACACACATACATGAGGGTGGGTGGACAGAAAAGGCCAGACAGGAAGACAAGGAAGAGATAAGGCACAGTTTATGTTTCAAAAAGAATAGAGAGGGAGAATATTGCCCTACTTCTCCCACTGGAATTTTGGAATTTGAACAGCACGCTGGAGATGGTTTGAATCTCGCAAAATCCTTCAACAATACTTCAACCAAGTTTTCAAACTCCCTTTTGGATGAGTCATCAGGATTTCTATCTCCTGAAGTCACTGTGAGGACGGCCCATGCATGTGTAGGATGTGAAATGGGAGGTAACAGTTGGAGGACACAGGAAACCAAAGTTTACAGCACCATTCATTACTGCACTTCCTTCATTTTAAGATTAAATTAAGTTGCCATCAAGAGCAAGAGATCTAAATGAAGTTTAACCCACTTCCACATCTGGTGCACATGTGTTCGAGCCGCCTGTGAACTGCAGGCGATCCCAGGAGCCTCAGAGCACCGACACGAGAATTGTTTACGCTCGAAATAGCAGCCAGCTACTCCTCTAACGGTTCTCCGTCACACAGCCCTCTGACCAATCACAACCCGACCAAGGGCATTTTTAGAAAACAAGGGCGCAGGCGAGGGGAAATGAGTCTTTGTTTCCCTGTGTTTCGCTCTCTTTAACCCTAGATCCTCTTTACTTTACAACTTCTTTCTTTCTTTATTCATCATCCATGACACATATTCGATTTAACAGAATGCATTAAGTCAAAGCAGGGTCAGTCATCTGTTGATTGTGTTGTAGTTGAAGTCTGTAAAACACAGTAAAGCTGCACATAATGCTGTCAGACAAGGGAAAATGGACGATAAACACTCTCTTTGTTTCGGGCGCCCCGTTCAAATGTATGGTTACAGCAGCAGTGATGGCCGAAGACAGCGTCCTTTGTGCTGAGACTGAAAACCATTGTGGTCACCTCATTGAATGCCATTCAGCACTGACGTTGGTCTAGTGTGTTTACATGTTGGAATAAGTACAATTAAAAATGGGTGTGTGGAGAGTGAGAGAGGGTGCGGCTACAGACTGACCCTACCTTCCAGTCTGATGGCCTCTGGGCAGTAGAAGTGCAGCAGGGCGGTCAGGGCACAGCCATCTGTGTTGTCCTTCAGGAGGTTGTCCACCAGGGGGAGCAATGGAGTGCTCCGCTGCTGGCCGTACTCCCTCCTGTAGCGAGCCTGGAATGAAACCATGGCAACGACACAGGCATCAACCATATGTGTCGTCGGGGTGGATACATACAGTTGGCAGCAAACATCTGCAGACACACGTTTATCTCCATATATATCCCCATCACCACGTACACAAATCACACACACACTCACACAGTCATGCACACAGTTTGTAAGTATGTGTTGTTTTAAGGAATTTCAAACACAGGGTGGGATTCAGGCTCAACTCAGATGCAGATTAAATTGATCATGCGAATATTGAGAAACAATCTGGAACGACGTCTTATCTCAAATTGAAAAGATTTTAAAAAAGCATTCATTACATTTCACTTATTTTGTCTTTGAGGGGTGGTTAGTGTTCTAGATGGAGAGCAGGGAACAAACCGCATGCTGGCAAATTAATGGTTTTTACTATCGCTGCACACTGACTCTCTCTAAACCTCCATTGTGGCGCTGTAGGAGACGCTGCATGAGATTTACAGTTTAATAATAATCTCCATTAGCGCATCCTTCCTGTCTGCAGGTTTTGTGTACCTCTGCCTGGGCCTGTAACAGCCACAGAGACGACACATGTCTTCAGGGCATCGGTTCTCCCAGTCTGCCCATAAACACACCAGTGGTGTCACATTTTACAACACAGCAATTCTCTCAGTCTGACAGCCTCTCAGAGTGCGTACTCAGGAACAAAATGTTCTCCTTCATTTTAGTTTGGTTTGAGTTCACACAAAACGTTACATATAACTTGCCATGGTAACTATGGATACTGAGCCTGTGTCATTAGAGTCAAATATGTTTTTCACTGGAAAATCTAGTGTTGATATAATCCTGCTGCTGGATGGTACTTGTTCTTCCAGGTAGAGGTTCCAACTGTGAGAAGGAACCAAGTTCACAGCATCATGGATCAGATTTTGAGGACTGTGAGGACCAATGTTGGCGTAGGACAGGGCAGGGGTGTCTGACCAGTATGTGATGGGGGCTCAGGGCCACGTGCAAGGACAAACAAGGGGTGGTGGGATGTGGGTAGAATTGCTGCAGGTTTGACATTAAATGGAGAGGAGGTCAATTGTGATGTTTGGCAAAGAGGACTTCTTTAGAATGAATGGACTTACTGGTACTAATCTCCAGTACCATTTGCTGGGAGACTTGATGGTGGATGATGATTGGACAACAACAGGAAAGAGTGGGAGAGGCATTAGGCCAACAGCAGGGACAAATAGAAAAGATTCACAACTACAACTGAGTCTGGAGGATAAAACCCATGTAAACAGTAGAGCAAACTCAGAAAGTGCATTTGAAATGTTCATCAGTAAATGTGTTGGAGCCACTGTTAACAATCTCTGGACATCTGGATTTTTATTTACCAAAAGACTAATTCTCCAGTGTGAGGTCCAGTGTGTAAGATTTAGGTGAAAGGGATCTATTGGCAGAAATTTAATTTAAAATAATCTTCGGAGGCCTCCATGTTTTTTACTGTCGTCCAAACTGAACAAACTAAACACCTTCTGAGTTTTTCTGACATCTGAAGGCTACCACATGTTCTCTTTCATGTTTGGAAGGGGAGGGTGAGGTGAGGAGAGATATATTCAGCTGCAACATGCAACTTCACCTCTAGATTCTACACACTGAACCTTTAAGGAGTGTAAACCAGCCGGTTTTTTAGGGGATTGGTGGCTGGAACAATACCTGGACTTGTTGAATATGGAAGGGGCAGCCTGTCTGCTAGAAGCATCTGGAGGATTGCTGGGACACTGCCTGAAACTTGACTGCTTGATCGCACAGTCAATAATAAATTGATTCAAATAATATTAAACTGCTTTACGGTGCATAAAGAAAGTATGTTATAGAAGGCAAACCCCACTTTGTATGTTCTGCCTCTATTGAGAATTGGTGCCTGTTTTATTCATTGTATGTTTTGTACAAAAAATTTACAACAAGTGATTGATAACAAGAGAAAAAGGCATCTCTTTTTAAAAAGATGAGGTTGTTTTACTATGAAAGTTAGCCCTGATAAGAACATAATAAGGGAGTGTAAATCCCACCTAAACACAAGGAGAGCATGAAAATGAAAGTACCTGAAAGAAACTGTAAACAGAGGAATCTTTGACTTTTGATTGTAATTAAAGCTTGCACCAAACATGGACAGACAAAAGACAGCTATCATGGCTGGTCTAGAGCAGGGATATCCATGCAAGATGTTCTAATTGATGACAAAAACCTTCTTGTGAGTCACTGTTCTAACATGTTTACACGTCTGTTCCACAGTTTTTTAAAGACTTAGTAATGTGCTGTAGCTCATTTTGCACTGTTATGCAATTCTTTCAAAAAATGGGAAAGTTCTGTGGAATGTTTTTTGAGATAAAATGAAAACTAATAAAAAAAACAATGAATGGGACTTAATAGTCAAACATCGTTGATGGAAGTAATTAAAGTTAAAAACAGAACTTTCCACTCAGCACCTTTGTTTGGCACAAACATTCACACAGTGTCCACAGGCAGAAATACTGAGCTCTCAGTCACAAGGCCTCAGTTAAAGATTTTTCACACCATCCCAGAATAGACTTAATTTACTGAGAAGGGTCTTGTGCTTAACCATTAGTGTGTTGCGCAGACATGATGTGTATGTGTGTGTGTGTGTGTGTGTGTGTGTTTGCGTGTGAAATCATCAGTGACCTCGGTGAATAGACTTCTGTTGGAGTTGATAATGGAGAGAGGGAGCTGTGTAAAGGAGCATGGAGTAGGAGAGCAGCTGACTGACACTGAGCGAACATCGTATTCCTCACACTCCTTGAAAGACTGTTGTAACTTGTTGCCTTTGACAAAGTCTGGGAGTGTATATGTGAGTCAGTGACAAGCCCAGTGTATATCATCAGCTCACAGAATGACCACAGAGAGGCAGTGACTGTATTTCACTACGCACCAACACAAAAACAGTCTACAAGCAGGAGAAAATAAACTCCCGGAGGCGATAAAAGCTCCTTCTAAACTGATTTAGCTGCTCATGACATCCTGATGCTCCTTGAGGAACTGTTTTACTTTGCATGACACACACTCACTGTATGAAACAGGTTTAATCTATGATAATAAGTGTCAGTCAGTCAGTCCACCACTTTGCTCCAGAGTTGAATATTTCAATTTCTAGCTTTTCTTTATTATTTTTTATACGGCCTCACTTTTTACCAGATTATTGTATTTATCATATACCATCATAGAATATGCCCAACACCAGCTAATGACATTCTGAATTATCAGCTCTTCAACCTGTGTAGCACTAATTAGCAAATGTTAAAATTCTCATATGCTAAACTATATGGTAAATGTTACGCCTGCTAAACATCAACATAGCACCATTGTTGTTATGTTAGCATTTAGCATCTAACATGACAGCTCTGAAAAGGTAAGCCAAATCATCTTGATTGCCCCCTAGTGGCTGGCTCCAGTATAGGTCATAAATCCTGTCTCCTCCATGTTAGTGGACCAAACTAAAAAGTCATCATACACGTTAAATAGATTTTTGGCAAAGATATTTTCTGTTATTTCAGGTAGTTCACGCTGATGTTTCTCCAAATGCAAATTTTTCTGCTAAATTTGGTTTTAATGGTTTATCAGATGCTTTCATTTTGCATCATGATTGACAGCTGAGATTAACCCACGGTTGATTGAGTGCATATATCAGGACCTTGATACTGCAGCTCCACTCCACAATCATTACGCTTCAGCTCTAAATGACGTCAAAGGCACAAGATGGCGGCATCCGTTGTCAGAGATATTTTAGCTTCATTTTTGAACGTGAGGAGAGGAGACACGTTGTCCATCTTTATATACAGTAGTCTAAATACAGCGTGCCTGGTTTTAGTCTTGCTGACTCAAGTCAAAAGTTGCACTGGCTGACTAGCATACAGATAAATTAGAGATTTAGTGTTTTCCTGTTTGAGTTGGTACTGAATTGCAGGCATTTCATTCCATTGGTCTCAGTTGAATATTATGTGACTGTGTACATACACAAGCAGTCACATAATATTCCTTTTTCCATTTAATAACCTTTATCCTCATGTCAGATTTGTAGCCAACAGAACCGAGGCAGGGGTCGTGACCTGAGAAGGAAGCGTGCTGTAGCTTCATGGTTAAGTGAACTGAAGTGGACGGGAGCTGGCTGCTGTGTGTCTGTCCCACTAGACTGCCTCGTTTCACATGGACCTTACATAACTATGAGGCCTGCAGGATGACAACACTGTCTCTGTCTGTCACTGGCTCTTTAGCTACAGCTGACAAAGTTCCTGAGTGTCCGTCTCCACGTCTCCCCCCACCCTGGGGTCATTTTTCCATTTTCCCTCTCTCAGATTATTCCTCCTCCCTTTCTCCCCCTCTTTTGCTGTTAAGCGTTCTTCTCTCCACTGTCCGGGACATTTTTTGCTCTTTTTCCTCTCTCAGCAGTGTCATGACTCTTGCCAACATTTCTCTGCAGCTGGTCTAAGCTCATCTGTTCCTCTGATTTACAGAGCGCGGCGTGCATGTGTACATATGATGTGTCGGCATGTGTCTTGCATAGAGGAAGACATATGGCCATCATTGACAAATACCCCCAACACATACACTCGACCAATCATGAGTCAGTTTCAGCTGTTAATCATGACATGTCACAATTAAAACCAAACTTGCCAGTAACATGAACACTTTGAAACATCGGTGTAATAAAAACAACCTAAAATGACAGCAACCATATTTGAGAAAAAAAAATTTGACATGTACTTTGACCTTTAACATGGAGGAGGCAGGATTCATGACCTACACTGCAGACAGCCACCAGGTGGAACTAAGAGGCTTTGGCTTTATTTTTGGGGCGCTGTCATGTCGTCCATCTTTATGTAGAGTTGATGTTTGATCCAAACAAACAAGGAGTCTCCAACTTAACCAAGAAAACTAAAACAGAGTTTGGCCGATTCATTTTTCTGCTGGTATTTTATGTACGTATACATAACATCTATTTGCATGGGGTTGGATAGCACTGTACATCTAGTCTAGTTGTTTTAGTTGTTATGCTAAGCCAAACTAATCGTATCCTGTGCCGTGACGTCATTTTTTGTGTACAGACATGAAAGTGGTATGACTTTTTTTCCCACTGACTGACGTGTGAGAGTCTAGAGTTGTAATGTTTGTGTTCTTACTTTCTGTGTTGCTGTGTTTGACTCCTGGACGGAAGATTCTCTCAGCTTCTGCTCCTCCACGAGGATGTCTCTTAGGTGTTCATTCACCTGGGGACAGAGTAAGAGAGAGAGAGGCGGGGGGGTCAAATTTCACATTTTTTGTTGGACACTGAGGTTGAATGGTGAGTTTGTGGGGAGAGAAGAAACTTGAAGATGAGTCTCAAACAAGAGGCTCTTCACATCACACAAAAATATTTCAGCACCCCCCCTGCCCATTAACTACTACTGCTAATTATTACTGCAACTTAACATGCCATCACTCAATGTCATCACATTCAAATCAAGCAAAACAAAAAAGCAACTTCAAAGTTGACTCTAATAATAATTAATGATTCTTTAAAAAGCCCCTTTTTACAATGACTGTTCTGTTTTCAAGGGATTGATGCAACATTTTGGCCTGAGGAGGCTCAAGGTCCCATCAGCCAATCCCAGCCATGTCGTGCTGTGTCTCAGAGAAAATCCCCATGTGCTTTTAATGATTCTACATGTAGCCTACATCTTCCTGCCTTATATTGTAAAATAGAGCAGGAAGCACATGAGCTTCTTCAGAGAGGAGTGTCAGTAATCACTATGTTTAAACGATGAGTTCATGTCATGCCAGGGCTTGTGTCATTATATTAAACAAAGTTAAATCAACATAATCTGTGTCAGAACTCACTTAAAAGCAAAATAATCTGTAAACTGATGAAATAAGCTAAAGACATAATCACAGGATTTAGCCACAACTGGACCAGAGGTAGTCAGGCTGTAGGTTGAGTCAGTTATCTCTCGGTAATCTCTCCGACATGATTACACATGCTCGGTGCCAGTTCTCAGGGAAGCTCTCTTGGAAACACATTGGAACCGGTTTTGAACCGGCAGAGGAGGAACCGAGCGCTGATACACTCTCCAGCAATTTGTGTGATTTTTTTTTAATCCACAGTCAAACAAAGAACTGTGTGTCAGATAAAAAGCCGCCATTGTACAAGCCTCAAGGATACTGCTGCTGCCCTTTGTGGGGAGAGAGCACATGTCTCTGTGGTTTTGTGTAAACACGAATGTGCCTCTGTGTGTGAGTGTGTGCACCTTATTTATCCAGGTGGTGATTGCATCCTCGGTGTCATAAGGCAGCTCCTGGAGTTGTCCGTCGGTGCGTGAGGGTTCGGCGGAGGAGTAACGGTTAATGCAGGACATCACCCGCTCCACGCTCACCATCTCCACGGTGTACGCCATCATCAGGGTATCAATGAGCGCCAGATGGGAACTCTGCAGAAACACAAAGAAGATAGAAGGAGAAGATGAATTCAAATACAGATCTAGAATTTACCCACTCTTTTTCCAGAAGCATAAGACTGACAATTACTGCACATCGTATTGTCTGTCAGCTGGTTTACACTTTTTGGGTATTTTTGAAAAACAACGCTGCACAAAACTATTAAAACTGACCATTTCCATTCAATATAAAAGTGTTTGACGAGAGTTTTGTTGTCTTACAAGGAAGATATGTTAAATTATTATTTAACAACAATGGCGCTCTGAATCACCTCATTCCATTCCACACATCGTATCTCCTCCATGTTTTATACTATAAACATATGCAAACATGTGTGAATGTGCATATTTAAGTGCAGTGCATAAATCTGCTTATAAATAAACTACACACATGCAGAAACAGCAGACAACTAGAATAGTCAGCATCTGCCAATGTCCAACAGTCCCCTCAAATTCAATTGAGCTGCACCACATTTCACACACTCACAAATACCTCTTCAGTAAATATGCAAGATTTTTCTTTTACTTTTAGAAAAACACCTTATATTCTGTGATAATAAATTCCTGGAACCACACCAAAATGTAATGGGTTCTTTCCTGACCCTACAGCGTCCTTCTACCAAGTTTCATGGAAATCCATCCAGCTGAATAACAGACAAAAAGAACAAACAAGGCAAAAACATAACCTCCTTGTGGAGGTCATAAATGCCACATCTCTCCTGAGAAATGCTTTTCAACACTCAACCATGTATCCACCTCACTGTCAGCTTCTTTTTTATTGTTCACCTCGCTCCTGCATCTCACAGGCTTTCCTCTGTGTGCATTCAGAGCTCAATAAGGGCACTGAACAAGTCTCTGCTGTTTAAGCAAAAGATCCTAAAACTGTCACACAAACGTTTGTTAGCTCAGTTTGTAATATGTTAGAGGCCTTTTCACTGTTCCGGCTGTAAATCCATCATAAAACTTGTGTTCCTGTGCACAGCAGGGAGTCCTATCAAGTTTATCTTTAAAGAATCAATGTTTCTGATTATAATGTCTCTTATGTCCTTTCCAATGACTTTTTAAAGTACTTCATACTCTAAAACATCAATAGAACTACCTTCATCGTGGACAATTACCTACACTTTTACTTAACATCGTCACCTACACAAAGCTTGACATTCTCCTGGCCTTTCTAATCCCATTCCAGGCTGGTCAGACCAACAGACCTCCCCTTCCCTTTCCTGTCAGACAACACGACTACTCAAAAACATGTACGCTCTGTGTGTGTGTGTGTGTGTGTGTGTGCTCTTACATCTGCTTACCTAAGCATCTGTGTCCTTTTCCAACCAAACTGTGCAAACATCTAAAGTCAGGTGTTCCATGACACAGGAGACTCAAACCAACAGGCACAAACAAGCAGTTTGTGAGTCTGTATAAGTGAGTGTGTACTGTCAGGCACAAGCCTCTATTCATAGCCAGATGGCCTCATGTAACGGCCAGTGTGACCGAGTGTTTTCCTCACAAAACCAACGCCAATGATCCTGCGTTACGACTCACGATTGCTACTGGAGCTCAGCGTCAGCACTACACCTCGTGCCAGTCCGAACAGACGACGTACACAGAGAATCAGACAGAAACTCCAGTGACGCATGATGTTATTAACTTGAATCTGATTTACACCAAACAAAGTTGGGATTTATGTGACAGGAATGAAACATGATGATCCTTTTTTAGACTCATACTCATCCTCATGATCTGGGAGGGCTGCAGGTCATAAATATATGGTCAGTCACTTATATTCAATAAACTGATCGATGGTTTAGTTCAAGGTGATGTCATCAAATGTATTTTTCTGTCCGACCAACAGAAACCAAAACAAAAAGTCAAGCTCAAGACAGAATATTTAGCTTTTTTTGCTACAACTTAAAGATATAATATGTTACAAACTTTGTTTGTAATTTTTACTGAATGACCTCATCCAAGAATGTGATCTGCATTTGAGTCGTGTCAGGTAGATTTAGGTAGAACTGTTGATTTTCTGCAGCTCAGTCATCATCACTGAATTATCAAATGATAGCTGTGTACAGGGAGACAATCTTTCTGTTTATTGATATATGCCGGTTCACATACACTGCAGTGAATTTCATGAGTAACCAGGATTGTTTGGTTTGGCGCCGGACATGTGAGTCTGATATTGAACTTTTGAGGAAACAGCCTGAAGTCCTGCATCTTCAGGATATTGCTAGATATCTGACATAGCGTGCATTCTGCGAGAGAGAGAGAGAGAAATAGAGATGCTACTGGAGCTGGAAATGCAGAAAAATACTCCACAATTTTCATAAAAACCCACTTAGCTTTTTCTGTGATGAAAGCTTTTCTGAACCAATTTGCATAAAACTCCTAAATCTTAAATTTTTTTAAGAAGCTTATGGAGGAGTCTGTAAGTGTGTGTGTGTGTGTGTGTGTGTGTGTGTGGCTGAGCGTGCGTGTTGGGGACACATGACTTTAATGGAGGTTGTAAGTTAGTCTGCATTTCAGCATGAAAAAACTCCACATCGTTAACAGTGAAGCATAGCAGTTTGACCTTCATTGGACTAAAGTGTATGATTTCCAGATGTTCTACAGGGCCGTGTCATAAATATTAAAGTTCCTGGATAACAACTTCCACATCCATTCTTTATGCAAAGCTTAGCTAAGTCAATACCTGAAGGAGACATATGATGCCTTTTCAGTTTTTCTTTCCTCTGGTGTATTATATAGTTTTTTTGTGTATATAAAAGGTCTGCAAATTTAAGGGAGCTCCTCTCCCCCACAGAGAGCACTGCTGCAAAAAAACTTCTTCAGTAATGTGGTTGATACTTCCACAACATTGTGATGTCATGTGGGCCACCTGGCCAATCAGAGCAGACTGGGCTTCATCAGGAGAGTTTAAGAAACAGGAGCTGAAACCAAAGAGCTGCAGCAATGGACAGTATGAAACAAGTTTTCTGAGAATTAGAGCATGTAAACCTTTACAAGTGATACAATTATGAACCTGACTATGAGCATAATATTCCTTATTCAACAAAGGGAAATCTCATTTTCCTGATGGGCATGTTCAGACCAGCTTTGTCTCTGTTAGACTGAGGGAAATCAAACGACCTGAGGAGTGTGAGTGCAGACGGCTCTGGCAAAAAAGATGCTCAGTCATTAAGCAAAAACATTGAACAAGAATTCTTTGGGCAAAAGCAACTCAATGCCACCTGGTAAGGTGCTGTGGTGGCCAGTCTTATATTGTACTTTGTAACATGAATGGCGGCTTGCCCCACAATTTCTGCCA